CACGTGTTGATATCAGGTAGGTTGGTTGCCACGTGTAGCATATATTTAATTTGGGTTTGAGGTGGGTTAGTTGCCACGTGTAGCATATATTTAATTTGGGTTTGAGGCGGGTTAGTTGCCATGTGTCCACGTGTTGATATTGGATATCAGCGGCTCGGTGGGTTAGTTGCCACGTGTAGCATATATTTAATTTGGGTTTGAGGTGCCACGTGTTGATATTGGATATCACCGGCTCAGTGAGTTAGTTGCCACATGTAGCATATATTTAATTTCGGTGCCCGATTCACTGTAATTGCCACATGTAGTATATATTTAGTTTCGGTCTGTGGATTTGAGGTGCCACCTGTCGATATTGGATATCGGCGGCCGTGTAGGTGGCTGCGGCCATGTAGGTGGTTGTGTCGTGCTCGATTCACTGTAGCATGTCACCCGATTCGCTGTAGCATATCATTGAGAACCGACGATTCCTATCTAGACACGCCTGTTTGAGGTGCCATGTGTCGATATTGGATATCGGCGGCCCAACGCGTTTGAGGTGCCATGTATCGATATTGGATATCCGCCGCCGTGTAGGTAGCCGTGTCGTACCCGATTCACTGTAGTTGCCACGCGTATATTTAATTTCGATGCCCGATTCACTGTAGTTGCCACGTGTAGCATATATTTTTAATTTCGATGGGTTTGAGGTGCCACAAGTCGATATTGGATATCGGCGCCGTGTAGGTAGCCGTGTCATGTCTGATTCACTGTAGTTGCCACGTGTAGCATATATTTAATTTCGGTGGGTTTGAGGTGCCACCTGTCAATATTGGATATCAGCGGCCGTGTAAGTAGTTGTGTCGTGCCTGATTCACTGAAGCATATCACCCGATTCACTTTAGCATATCGCTGAGAACCAGCGATTCCTCTCTAGACACGCCCGATTTTCGGTATTCCATAGTAACCGACAGGGGCTGGTCGATTTTCGTGTCGACCCCGAGCGATTCCGGGTCGACTCGCCGTTCTTTAAATCCCCGATCCATAGTGATTTGGAATGCGTTCCAAGCAGCGATTCACTGTAGCATATCGTTGAGAATCGGCGATTCCTCTCTAGACACGCCCGATTTTCGGTATTCCATAGGAACCGACATGGGGTGGTCGATTTTCGTGTCGACTATGGGTGATTCTGGGTCGACTTGCCGTTCTTTAAATCTTGATCCATAGTGATTTGGAATGTGTTTCAAGCAGCGATTTAAAAAACGACGAGTTGACTCGGAATCGCCCGATGTCGACATGGAAATCGACCACCCTATGTTGGTTCCTATGGAATAACGGAATCGCCTGATGTCGAAAACGAAAATCGACCACCCCGTGTTGATTCTTATGGAATACCGGAAATCAGGGCGATATCCAATATCAACACGTGGCAACCTCAAACCCTCCGAAATTGTCCCGATGTCGACGCGGAAATCGACCACCCCATGTCAGTTCCTATGGAATGGCGAGTGGACACGACATAGCTACCTATATGGCCGGCAATATGGAATGGCGAGTGGACATGACATAGCTACCTATATGGCCGCCAATATCCAATATCGACATGTGGCAACCTCAAACTCGTCGAAATTGTCCCGATGTCGACACATGGCAACCTCAAAACCTCAAACCCGTCGAAATTGTCCCGATGTCGACACGTGGCAACCTCAAAACCGTCGAAATAAATTGTCCCGATGTTGACATGTGGCAACCTCAAACCCATCGAAATTGTCTCGATGTCGTCACGAAAATCGACCACCCCGTGTGTTCCTATGGAATACCGGAAATTCACCCCGTGTGTTCCTATGGAATACCGAAAATT